ACTGAATATTTATTAGAATATTTATTCTCATTTAATTAAGAAATGGAAACATTTTCCAATTTTAATTATTAATGGTTAGATGTACGCATATAAGTGTCGACACAACGCCCAAACGCATTTAGTTGAATGCAGTTGGCCATAATATGCAAAAGAATATTCTACTTCTAAAACATTGATTAAAGAGAGTCAAATTAAGGTAGGAAAAATTTTCCTTGGTTTTTAAAATGTATTTCTTTCCTTACCCATTATGCCAGAACGGATAAACCTTTTCTTTACATTTTCTACATTCAAATAATATGCATGTATACTAAAAATGTGCAATGTATATAATTATTGGATTCGTCTTGAGTTTGCTTCCAGTTCGACTCTTTGAGCTCTGGCTTCCACCTGTTATATAGTTATATATGTATACATGACCATTTATAAATGCCTTGACTGAGTTGCAGGCGAACTGACTGTAGAAGCTTATATTTACTCGTGCATGCATATTTCAATGGCACATGACCTTATAATATTATAAATATATTTACGGACTTCCGCTTAAGAACTCGATAACTGGCTAGCTCCGGATAGCAAAATCCAAAATTCTTAACAAGAACAAATTTCTTGTTTCAATGAAGACATTGCTTGAAATAATTAAGATATCAAGTAAACTTTGTCTTACGAAGCAAAATAGTTTACTTAAAACAAATATGTATATGTTAAGAAAAGACATAGCAATTTTTTACTTGCCAAAAATAATAATTGACTTAATCATGATGGACCCTGTATAGCTGAGCTGGTTGCGTGGGGCCGCGTATATGTTCGATTCTAGCTTGGCAGAGGTTGCTTATTCGTAGCTGCTCCTAGTCTGAATTGACGAATAAAAATTACAATCGAAATTTGTACTGATTAAAAAGTATTTCAAGATTAGTTCGTTCGAGTGACACGCCCAAACATGGTCCTAAATAAACCGCGGCATAAAAGTATAGTCGCGAACGATTGGTATTAACGCTTGACTCAGTTGACTGCTAGGGCTAAAATAAGCATTATATTTTCGCTTGAGTAGCTTTACTGTGTAGATAAGTATGTACATACGTATAATTGTCAGAATTATAACTAAACTCAGTGATATTTAAATGCTCGTACCGCTTGCTGCTTTTCCAGCAAACGTCAACGGCGTTTTTAAATAGTATACCCACATAACGTGGAGACAGTTTAAGTTCAATGCAGCTGGCTTGATAGTAAAAGAATATATTTCTTAAATATTATATAAAGAGAGTCCATTATAAGGAAGGAAAAATCTATTCCTAACTGTTAAGTAATATATTTTCTTTGCGCTAGTATATTAGTATAGGACGGTCAAAGCTTTTTACACATTAGTATAACATCATTTTAAATAATGCAGAGGCTATAGTACTAGATTAAAGTGTAATTATATACAGTACTGTGTTGTGTTCGCCTCCAGTTTGCTTCCAGTTTGACCCTTCGGGTCTAGCTTTGATATACCTGTATAGTAACACAAGAGTCGACGATGGCGAGATAATTACAAGCCTTTTAGTCACTGCATGCATGAGCTGCAGGTGAATTGACTACATGCATGCTTGTTACCGCATGCACCATGCATGCAAACGTGAGGTGACTGGTTGTATTAGAAGAATATTCCAACAAATTAACAACGGCAAAATTAAAAAAATTCCGTATGAGCGAGATGAATTTCTCTTGTGTTTATATGAGAAATTTTCATCCTTGTTGCCGGGACAATTCTGTTATTTTGACATTGTTTTGACAGTTGCTGCATGAAAATAACTTGCGGCGGCATCTTTGAACCTTCATCCCAACAACAGCTAGGCCAGGCCGCTACACATGGGAAAAAGAAAGTTGAGAACATGCAGGCTTTAAAATAAGCTTGGAACCCATGCAGGATAGCAGTCCGAATGTCACTAACACAAAAGATAGACTCCGGTTTTTTATACGCCGCGCGCGTATATAGCAGTTGTTTTGTTAATTAATTTGCAATTGTATACGCGGATAAATATCGGTAGTTTGGGCATCTTATTCGATAAAACTAATTAACCCTTGAAAATGTTTTGAAATTCAAAATTTTGAGTGGGAATCAAGCATATCTTTCGGACCTAACATGCATGAGGAGCAGCCATTAGCGAAATTTTACATTACGCCCAACGGGAGCGCATTATATGTGTCGATCATCATGTTTCAAAAGTTACTTGAGTATGAGCGGAGTGGAAATGTGATGATGATAAACTTTATTTAACCACGCTAACATTGTCAGCAGAAGCTGGTTTCCACAATGGGCGTGTAAAAAACATTAACAAATTGTTACAAGTAAAATAATAAGGAAGTATTAACATGCAGAATATAAAATTATTAAAATATATACAAAAAGTTTGCTATTTACAATGATGTGGTTTTCTTTATAAGCTATAGGTAACGATTTTTCTTTTAAAACTTGAGACCGAATTACTTTCTCTTATATTTTTTGGAAGAGAGTTCCATATGGAAGCTCCATCATACATGAAACTCTTTTTCATATTGTTTGTGTTTGGCTTGGGCAAACGTATGGTACTTGAGCTGTTACGAAGACTGCGGTTTAATATTTCTTTTTTGAAAGTAAATAATTCTTTGAGACAATTTGGCCCCATGTTATTTAGCGTTTTAAACATTATTTTTGCCTTTGCTTTCACTCTTTGTTCCTTGAGTGGTTCCCATTCTAATATATTTAGCACAGTTTGTTGATCTACCTCATTAGGCACACATGCTATTACACGAGCAGCTCTGTTATGAAGTTTTTGGAGACGCGTGGATTGCGTTTCGCCAAATATATTCCAAACTTCACAACAGTAGCTAAAGTATGGTTGAATTATAGCATTGTATACGGAAACGAGTGTTTTTTGATCAACATATTCTTTAATGCTTTTAAGAGCGTATATTCCAGATGATATCTTTTTACATATATTATCTGTATTGCTCTTCCAACACAAATTTTCATCAACAGTCACACCTAGTGTTTTACATTGAAAAACCTGCTTTATGGGTATGTTTTGAATGTGAATTTTAAGTTGCTGAACAGAAGCTTTCTTCAGCATCTGTTTAGTACCAATAATTTGAAATTCAGTTTTCGCCACATTCAAGCTCAGTTTGTTTGCCATGAGCCATTTACGAAGCATTTCTAAATCAGAGTTTACTGCATCTTCAAGATCACTTAAGCATTCTCCAGCTGCTGTGATATTTGTATCATCAGCAAACAGCCGTGGTGTTTTACTCAGACATGCAGGTAGATCATTAATATAGAGTAAGAAGAATAGTGGCCCCAATATAGACCCCTGGGGTACACCACATTTGACGTCGTTTTCCCCTGAAATAGATCCATTGACTTCACATCTTTGAGGACGACCAGTTAAGTATGATTTGAGTAATAGAAATGCACTTCCTAATTCCAACTAGTTTTAGTTGTTGCAATAAGATCTCATGGTCAACAGTATCAAAGGCTTTTTTTAAGTCTACAAATACAACCAAATTAAAAAGTTTTCTATCCATGTTTATGTACCAATCATTTGTGCAATCAAGTAAAGCTGTTGCAGTTGAATGAAATTTTCTGAAACCAAATTGATGTTCAGAAAGTATGTTATTTGCACTCAAATACTCATAAAGTTGAGTATATAGGATACGTTCCATAATTTTACTAATGGCTGGCAACACAGAAATTGGTCGATAATTTCCTGGCAAGTTTCGTTTGCCATTCTTAAAAAGGGGAATTACCCTTGTCAAATCTAATTGATTGTTTCATTGGGCTATTTGTACGAACGAACTTAAGCCTCGACCTATGAATAGGCCGCGACATAAATTGAATGCTAGGCATAAAATAAACCGCGGGTTATTGCAAATTGACTGCTTATGCGAGTCACTCGCGACTTTAATATTTATCCCCGAGCCGACGGTGCGAAGCGCCGTGCGAGGATACTAATCCCCCCCGGCTATTTACACCCGTGGAAACGAAAGCATTAGCGAAGTCTAAAGTTCATCAAATATCGCGGGCGTGGGACACTGTGCGTGGGTGGCCATCCTCACTGATCTCAAAATATTGCGGACTGTCAGGAATAGCGAACACTGTGATTGGTCCCCAGTTTAAAGTTTGCATTATAACAACTGCATGACGACAGCGAAATAGCAAACATTTCTTGATTTGACGGTTGATAAATTTATTGCAAATATATTTCATTTTTGCTCGCATTTTTGCAAGATTTTGTAAAATTTCAAGAAAGAAATTAAAGGGCGAAAGAATCGGCTAAAAGAAATGAGCCGACGTTAACGAAGGTAAGTTTGTTTTAAATATTGATTTTATAATTGCTTTAAAACCCGACGGCCTTTGCGTATATGAAACAACTAAACAAGACAGCATATAATTTCAGTGTATGTCAGTGGCGTAACGTTATATCAGAGGGGCCCCGGTTCAAAATTTTCGAAGGCCCCCCTAGTAGAAGTGCCAAAAGCACGAGTCGAGCGCCGTATATGCTCAAATTTTCTAGGGGGTCCAGGTACGCTCACGCGGAAAATGTTTGAATATATACTCTCTGAAATGTTATTTTCTGGACTTTGGGGAGAAATTTTACAGAATTCTGATGGTCAGAAAACGACATTGTGACATATCAGAGGCCCTGGGCAATGTTTTTGCTCTACAGCCTTGTAGTGATATATTGTTACGTCATGTAACATAAATATAAGGACACAAGAACACGTGATAACATTATGCAGGCTTATATAAAAACATGGCGAAAGGCCCAATATAGTTTGTAAACTTATTCTTTGTAATGGTTGATATTATATGGAAATCCTAATAAACTAAATACGAAACACAATATGGTGTCAAAGAGTGGGATCTGATCAACAGTCCACAAGGAAAAGAGACGTAAATCAGGCATGGTAAGTCAAAATATTTCGTACAATACGAACAGACATTAACTTGCAAGTATTCGAACGATATTAAATAAACGTAAAGAGACATGGCCACTGGGTTTACCCCACCAACAATGAACTGGAATGCTTCAGACATTCCAGACGAGTTTAATTCCTTTAAGCAATATTGCAACCTTGTATTTGATGGGCCATTTCTAAAGAAAACAGAAAAGGAAAAAGCATCTTATATTTTACTATGGATTGGGCGACAGGGAGTCGATATTTACAATAGCTTTGTATGGGAGAACGAACAGGACAAAGTGAAGCCCAAAGCCATATGGGAGAAATATGGGAAACACCTCGCGCCAAGAAGTAACTATAGGCTAGCACGATTTCAATTACAACAATTGAGACAAGAACCAAACGAAAACATTGACAATTTTACGACCAGATGCAGAAACCAGGCAGCAAAATGTAAATTTCGAGATCAACAAGAAACGAATGAAAGATTAATTGAACAATTAGTAATTGGAACAAGACATAAGAAAGCACAAGAAAAAATACACGAAAAAGATGAAAATCTGAGCTTAGACGAAGCAATAGATTATGCCAGAACATATGAAGCTACCATAGCTCATGTTGCTCAATTAAATAAAACAAATGAAATTCAGAAATCCGTACATGCACTATCAAAATTCGCAAAGCCTAAACAAAAATGCCAGAACTGTGGAACTGAGCATGAAGCTAGAAAATGCCCAGCCTACGGGACAAGCCAAACCATTGGGCAAAAATGTGTCGCAAGAAAATAAACAAAACACCCCACTACCAAGCTAGACCAGGAAGCCAAAATCCCAATGAGGGCAAACAAACTAGATACTGCCAAGGTCAAAGTCGAAACAGTAATAGGCGGGTCCATGATTAGAATGTAAACAACGAGTCAAGTGATGAATTCGATACACTAGTTTTTGACACGATCACAGTTGACAGTATTACACCTGACTCAAACAGCCAACCAAAGATGAAGCACTAGTCATGATCAACATCGAACTGCCAAATAATACCCATAACACACAATTGAGAGCTAAAGTTGACACAGGTGCTCAAGCAAACATCCTACCACTAAGATTATACCGTAGCATGTTCCCAGCGAATATCAGCTATGGATGGTAAACCCAAGATAAGTGCAGTTAAAAAGTCCACGACCACCCTTACAGCATACGGGGTACTGCAATTCCACAATTTGGTACATGCGAAATAAAGTGCTCATACAAGAACAACAGCACAAGCGCTACATTCTATGTGGCTGATGTACACAGTAGAGCAATTATTGGATTACCAACTGCACTAGATCTTCACTTGATTACGTTGAACTGTTCAGTAGAGAAATCGCAAGTACAAGAGACCTCGCCTACTAAGGACACGGCAGAGCTTAAACCAAGCACTTGCATAGATAATAAAATCTCACCTGATTGCACAATACCCAAATTGTTTCAATGGGATTGGCAAATTCCAAGGCGAATATCACATCACCTTAGACCCTTCAGTTCCACCTGTCATTCACCCACCCCGACGCGTACCGATTAGCCTTAAAGATGATATCAAACACGAGTTAGAAGAGATGGAACAGCTAGACATTATAACCAAAGTTCGAGAAGGTGAACCCACAGCATGGGTCAACAGTCTAGTTTACCGAAGGAAACCCAATGGGAGGCTAAGAATATGCCTGGATCCGAAAGACTTGAATGCTGCTATCCAACGTGACCACCACGTTACCCCAACCCTAGAAGAAATCCTACCAAAGTTGAATGGTGCTACCCATTTCTCTATCCTCGACGCAAGAAGCGGCTACTGGAACGTGACACTAGATGAAGAATCCAGTTATTTAACAACATTTAACTCGCCCTTCGGGTGATATCGATTTAAACGAATGCCATTCGGTTTAAAGATGTCACAAGATGTCTTTCAATCAAAAATAGATCAAACCTTTGAGGGCTGCAATGGTGTTGTGGGAATCGCTGACGACATAGTGGTCTTTGGCAAGACAGCGGAAGAGCATGATGAAAACCTACATGGTATGATGGAGAGATGCCAAAACACCGGTCTAAAGCTCAACCCTGAGAAATGTTTCATAAAGCAGAAACAAATCAAATTCTGTGGAGTTATATGCAATGAAGAGGGTATTAAGCCAGATCCATCCAAAGTTTCCGCCTTGAAACAGATGACAAAGCCCAGAGATCGTCGTGAGCTCCAGACATTCCTTGGGCTAGCCACATACATGGGTCCTTTTATCCCAAACCTTAGCTCCATTACAGCACCATTACGAGAAATCCTAAAGAAGAAGAATACCTTCGAATGGAATGAAAACTACCAACGAGCATTTGACGAAGTTAAACAAGCCATCAGTGAAGAGATCACCTTAAACTATTTCGACAGCACCAAAGAAGTTGTTCTACAAGTGGACGCTTCAACAAAGGGTCTCGGAGCAGCACTAATACAAGAAGGGAAACCTGTTGCGTTTGCAAGTAAATCATTAACAGACGTGGAGACCAGATATGCCAACATCGAAAGGGAAATGCTGGCTGTTGTATATGGATGCGAACGTTTCCACACCTATTTGTTTGGACGACCAGTAATTGTCCATACTGACCATAAACCGCTCGAGAGTATCCACCTGAAACACCTCACGTCTGCACCACCCCGACTGCAGCGTATGCTACTCCGGTTACAACCCTACGACCTAACTATCAAATATATTCCAGGAAAAGACATGCTACTAGCAGATGCTCTGTCACGATTATCCCCCGAAGAAAAGAACCCAGTGAAAGATATGAACGTGGAAATTCACGAAGTTTGCCCACAGTTTAGCAGCGAAATGATCGAGAAGGTCAAACTAGAAACAACTTCTGATCAGGAGCTGATGATGCTCAAAACGATTGTGCACGAAGGCTGGCCAACATCAATTAAAGAAGTTCCACAAGTTCTCAAACCGTATTGGTGCTACAGAGACGAAATTAGTATTGAAAATGGAATACTCATGAAAGGGCAAAGAATCATTATACCATCAACCCTTCAAGTCGAAATTCTTGGAAAACTTCATGCAGCACATCAAGGTGCAGAGAAAACAAAACTTCGTGCCAGAACATCCGTCTTTTGGCGAAAGATGAACGAAGATATCGACAAAATAACCAAATCTTGTCGTACCTGCCAAGAATTCCAACCAACGCAAACCCGACAACCACTCATCCCAACAGAGATACCACCTCGCCCTTGGCATACAATTGCCACTGATCTGTTCTATCTTGATAACACAGAATATTTGCTTGTTTCCGATTATTACTCCAAGTACCCATTTGTGAGGAAAATCCCAAAAGGGCAGAGTAACAGCAAGACCATTATAGCGATCCTAAAGCAGATATTCAGCGAACAAGGAATCCCAGAAGTCGTTCGTTCTGATAACGGTCCACATTATTCCAGCAAGGACTATCGCGAAATTGCTAATGAATACGGGTTCCAGATAGTAACAAGTTCACCCCATTATCCCCGAAGTAACGGGTACATTGAAAGTCAAGTGAAGACCGTGAAAGCAATATTAGCTAAAGCTAAGAAGACCGAAACTGACCCGAACATTGCTCTCCTTTGCTTGCGCTCCACACCGATAGACAATACGTTACCATCACCAGCAGAACTGCTCATGAAAAGGAAACTTAAAGACAATTTACCGCGGAAAATTACCGGGGTTCACAATAGTGATGACATTATAACTAGATTAGAGCAAAGGCAGGAAAAGCAAAAACAATATCATGATCAACACGTGAAACCTCTTCCTGCTCTACAGTCAGGACAATCTGTCAGTGTCCAAAATCCGTCGACTGGCAAATGGAGTCCAGCAACCATAAAGGAAAAGATTTTCAATACCCCAAGATCTTATCAAGTCGACACACCAACAGGGGAATTGAGGCGCAACCGAATCCACCTGAGAGAATTACTATCTACGCCACAATCAAGCACAACCACCAACAATCCTGACAACAGCAACAATCCTGACTACAGCAACAACACGTCAGGTAGAGTAACAACTCGAAGTGGACGAGTGGTAAAACCACCAGACTATTACGCATGAACTGCATGATAATAAGAACAATATTTTTATTAATTATAGTTGACATTGACTTTGTTTTGTTATAAGGGAAAGAGGGATGTAGTGATATATTGTTACGTCATGTTGGTACAAGACCAAATGTGTGTAAAATTGTCGTTATTTCTAAGATTGTTAGTACGTTTGTCAGGGAGAAGATCGTACAATTTATGACTTGGTTTAGTCATTCTTTTAAAGTGTGATCTGCAAAGTTCATCTCGTCTTTGTGAAAGACTTGGAAGCGGAATAACCTCCAAGGCCTTCCTGTAAGATAGGTCAGGATAAATTATTCTTAGTGCTCGCTTTTGGACCCGCTCGACGTCATCAGAAAGGTATTATGAAGCACCAAAGTTCCATATGAAGGTAGTATAGACGGTTAAAAGGGATGTATGATCAAGTCCAGCCCGTTTTAATATGCGTAAAAAATATAGGCGCTTAGAAGCCTTGGATACAATATAGTTTATGTGTGTGTTCCATTTCAAGTCTGTGGAAATATAAGTGCCTAGGATTTTTGCTGAAGATACAGGAACTAGTTTGTGATTGTTTACGAAGATTGGGTCCAGTTTTGGAGGATCTTTCGCAACTTCGACGTCGGGGACACTAAAATTAGGAAGGGTGGAAAAGGGTATATTGGACTTAATAAAAGCGCACACTCCTCCGCCCCGTTTGCCATTTTCACGATCATTTCGAACAATAGAGTAGCCTGGGAGGGATCTTGGATTATCGGTGATTCTAGAATTTAACCAAGTTTCTGTTATGGCGATTACATCTACGTTATTTTGTTGGGTGACAGTTTGCAAATCATCAATCTTAGCATTTAAGGATCTTACGTTGGAGTGAAAGAATGTTGGTAAACAGCTAAAGGTTGGTGAGCGGTTATGTGCCTGAGTCCCAGGAATGGCTTTCTTGGTTTGAATGTGTACCAGATTTACACTATTTACACAATGTTTTTGATTTGAAATGTTGCTTTTCACTTTTCGAGGACGATTTAGAACACTCAAGGGCATACTAGGAAACGTTATTGTAGGTGGTGCTGAGGGGAGCACGACAGGGGGCCGTAAAGGGGTTATATTGATGTCAACAGAGGTGGTGGGTATACATATGGTCGAAGCATGGGATGATACTGTGGAGGTTGAAACGGGGGGAAATAATGGCTTGAACTCACAGGAAAAGGAAAATGATTAGTAATAGGTTGTGATATATTTGGATAAGATGTATAGCCCAAGTTATGAGGGTATCGCTGTAGGTTATTAGACACTCTTGGTCGATTATTGGACGAACAATAGGACGGGTTATTCAGCGGATTATTGGACGATTGAGAATTTTTGTGCTGGAAGTCACACAAGGGACCCTTTAGGCAAAAGCCTCTCCGTCTTAGAAATGGGCAAGGTACTAAGTGCCTGGGCAAAGGTTTGCTAGAAATAGCGGAATTACGTTTGGTAGCTTTGCTCGTATGTGGCCCTTTCGGTGGATCGGTTCTAGGTTGATTTCTTGCCTCAATACATTCAATAACTGAATTCATCTGAGGATTGTACACCGATCCTTTGTTGGCCCGAGAAGCCTTATTGCCAACTAAGAGAGAGGTGTTTAACTCTAAATTTTTGTTTAAATCCTGGGGTTGCTGTTGAACAATAGTTATCGGTTCATCAGGAATGTTAATTGTATTAATTAAGTATAGGTCATTGTTCCCGGTGTTTTTTTGTTGTACTTTAGGCGTAGAGTTTTTAAACAACCGTGGCTTCGATTTGAACAAACCATTCTCATTTCGTAGATCCTGCATGTCTGCTTTAAGATTGCCGACCAAAACTTCAAGTTTATTTACTTTATCTTCGAGTGCTTTGTTATATTCAAGTTTCAGTAATAAATCATGACATTTATTATTTAAATTTTCAATTTTCCTTTCGTTATTAGATCGTGCTTTACATACCTCAGCTTCTATTCTTATAAGTTTATTGTCGTGGGCTAATGTTACTTCATCCAATTTGGCCGTCACCACGTCTTGAATCCTATTTATTGCCGCCCACATAGTTGAAAATTCAGAGTCAGCCGCTACAGATTGTTTAGCTTTGTTATCAATCGACTCTTTACACGCCGTTGCTGTATCTAAGCAAATCAAATCACCATTGCATAACCGTTTTAGTGTGTTCGCCACGAGATTTACTTCGCTGTCTTTTTCAATTATCAGTTTCTTTCGCGTTTGCCCAGTCCATTTAAGGATAATCTCGGTGTTCTTAAATAGCTTCGTTTCACCGCCAGGCGATGACCATTTGCCGACTAACTTTAGGTCATTTTGTACGAAACTCTTTAATTGAGCTAAATTGCCTTTCCAACAGTAACCGCTTTCGTCAATAACAACAAGAGATGAGAGTACTTTATTTTCCATATTATTTGTAGGTATCTTAACACTTTCGTCCATAAAATCCAACAATGAATTTGCCAGAATTTGGCTTGAATTTGCGGAGCTCAAATTGACACGACTGTTCTCCCTGACTGGTTCGCATCCAAATGGCAATCCTAATAAACTAAATACGAAACACAACACGCCCTTTTCAAGTTATCGTCGATATCTCCGGAACGAATAGATATATATATATATTTATATATATATATATATATATATATATATATATATATATATATATATATATATATATATATATATATATATATATATATATATATATATATTATACAGAGCGATTGCATATCATTAAACACATCACACTCAGATAGTGCACACGTACATTTTTTGAGCTCCTGCTTTGTAATAAAACTTGAGTTTAACATGGCAGAGTTACTTCTAACGAATAAGGGAAAGCTTAGGTGGCGTGGTGAATTCGAATCTTTACAAATATTTCTTGAAAAAGATCTTAACATCAGAGGCAAGTGGATTTCTGCAAGTGGAGCAAAGCTGTTAAAAACTGAGGACATTCAGATCCGATGGTATAGTCAGCAAGAAACTATAACCTTGAATGGCCCGAAAGCAGAGGAATACAAGTCGTTATTGAAAGCTAAGGGGAGTGTCTTAGATATCACCGAAACGACAGAAAGTGTGGACAAGGAGATGTCTGAAGCTTCCCAGCAAGAGGTTTCGGTAAGCGAGGCGTTAAATATCACAAGTTTTGACCCTTGCCTTTATAAAACAGTAGAAGCGATGAAGTCTGAAATTAATGCATTGAAATCGCAATTTAACAAACATTGCTTAGATTCATCCAAACTGCATATAGAATCAAAAATCCAAAAAGATAATAACTCTAGTGATGCTCGTACTTTAGATGTAGAGCGTTTGGAAAACGAAAACGAGAACTTAAAACAAGAAAACCAATTATTTCGATCAAAAATCGATTACCAAGAACAAGATCTATTGCATTTGAATAACAAATTAAAGACTTTAGAAGACGAGAGAGCAAGTTTAATAACCGTAATACGTCTATTGTACTCCGATAGAGATGAAAACAATAAATCATATTCCCAATGTGAATATCAAAGTGTTATGCGTGGCAGCACAAAAGCTAACTACCCACGCTCTCGCGTTCCAAATGCCGCCAGTAAACAAAATAAAATTCCAGACGTGGTAGGCAAAAATAACTATTCACCGCTCGAAGTAGAACAAGCTTCTGAAGACGACGAAGAAGCCGGACAGTAATTGAAGTTGGCACAAGCGACGATGATGATAAAACTCCTCATTACAGACCTAAGCAAACCTCAAAATCAACCACCCGAGTGTCCAAAAAAACAGAGAAAGAGGCTCGACAACAACATCAGCAAGGAAATGAGAAAGATTTGACAGATAGACACAATTCAAACCAAAACCAGCGAAAAGTGGATATCTGTGGTGACTCCATGACAAAATATATTCAAGCACATAAATTAGGACGCTCAACTAACGATAGAGTCACGTCAAAATCATTTAGTGGGGCGAAGTGTAAAGATATGAAGCATTATATTATGCCTACTTTAGAAAAGAAGCCTGACGAAATTATACTGCACGTCGGAACAAATGACCTAAAGACCAGCAGCGCAAAGACGGTTGTCAAAGATATCATGGCGCTAAAAGATTTTGTAGTAAAAACTTCACCTAGAACAAAGGTAACTATTTCTGAACTGATAGTAAGAACTGATGACGAAACACTTAATAATAAAATTAAACAGATTAATACATTATTGAAACAAAATTGTGCTGCTGATAATACACCCTTAATAGAACATTCCGATGTAAATAATGACTGCTTAAATCAGTCTGGTGTTCATTTAAATAATAAAGGAACAGCATTATTTGCTCTGAGTATAATCAACCATATTAGGCATTTTTGATATTAAATTTAATGATGCGATTCCAGGTCTTAAAAACCATATTGAAAATCGATCCCCAACTATTAACGACTTAAAAGGTTTTGTAATGGCTCATTTAAATGTTGCCTCTCTTCCCAAACATATTGATGAATTAAGATTACAATTAACTAAACAGTCCCTAGATATTTTGAGTATCAATGAAACAAGATTAGATAACACAATAAACGATGGTTTAATACACTTAAATGGTTATGACGTTTTACGTAAGGACAGAAATAGAATGGGCGGTGGAATAGCCATTTACTTTAGAGATAATATAAATATTAAAAACCGAAATGATCTTGTGCCTGATTCTCTAGAAGCGTTATGTGTTGAAGTTCGGAAACCTAAGAGCAAGCCAATTCTAATTGTGAGTTGTTATCGTCCGCCAAATTCAAATCATGAAGTCTTAAAGTTAAATGAAAATCTTATTAAAAAGTTGGATAATGAAGAAAAAGAAATTGTGATTTTATTCTATCAAGTAGATCAGTTACACACAATTCTGACAATTTTGTATAAATATTGAATTTATATCAATTGCATCAATTAATTAACAAACCTACTCGAATAACAGAGACTTCCAAAACTTTAATTGACGTTGTGATAACAAACAAACCTGAAAATTATTTAAAATCTGGAGTTATACACATTGGAATAAGTGACCATAGTCTGGTATACACTTGTCGAAAACTATCTGTGCCTAAAAGTAAACATAAAGTAGTCGTTACGCGTTGTTTAAAAAATTATAACAGTCACGAATTCAATGAAGATTTAAAATATAATTTTGAAAATTTTGATTTTGATACATCAGACCCAAATGAAATGTGGGAATCTTGGAAAAATATCTTTAATATGGTACTTGAAAAACATGCACCGACTAGAATACGTAAAGTCAGGAGTGAATATGCGCCCTGGCTAACAAGTAATATAAAAAAGAGCATGTACCACCGTGATTACTTAAAAAAAATGGCAATTAAGCACAATTCTCTACATTATCACGAAGCATTTAAGACACAAAGGAACAAAGTCAACAAAATTATAAAAGAATCTAAATCTGAATACTTTCGAAATAAAATAGTAACTACTAACTAGCCAAGAGAAATGTGGTGCTGTATAAATCAGTTGATTGGGAAAAGATCAAAAACAACCGATATACTAAATATAGATCATAACGGTGTACCTATTCGTGATCAGGAAGAAATTACCAATTTATTTAATGAATATTTTTCTGAGATTGAAGAGAAACTATCAGTGGAAATTCCTTCTACAAATGTAAAATATGTCGACTACATAAAGCACAACGAGTGTACATTTGACTTTGTGGAAATTACTAAGGATGAAGTACTAACTGAATTAAAAAATTTAAAAGCCAACAAGGGCTCTGGACCAGACAATATATCTCCAAAATTTCTCAAAGATTCTAGTTATGTAATTTCTTCAACACTGACGAGTATTTTTAATCAGTCACTTAAAATGGAAAAATTTCCTGACGAATGGGCACTCGCTAGAGTTTCTCCAATCTTTAAGGCAGGATTAAAGACTGAACTTGGCAACTATAGACCGATATCTGTTCTCACAGCTGTATCTAAAGTATTCGAGAAAATATTATATAAACAAATCAGTAAATATTTCGATGACAATGAATTATTTACAAAATATCAATCAGGATTTAGGAAAGGTTATTCCACATCGACAGCACTGTTAAGTGTTACAAATGAATGGTTATGTAACATTGACAAAGGCCTAATAAATGGTGTATTACTTCTTGACTTAAAAAAGGCGTTTGATACTGTAAATCATGACATTCTTATTGAGAAATTAAAACTTTATGGCTTTCAAAAGCAATCTCTGTCATGGTTTGAATCCTACTTGAAAGATAGGAAACAGTTTTGTAAAATTAATCAAAGTCAGTCATCAATTAGGAACGTTTGATGTGGGATACCTCAAGGATCAAATCTTGGTCCACTCTTATTTCTGATTTATATTAATGATCTGCCAAACTGTCTTGATGAATCTATTCCAAGCATTTTTGCTGATGATACAAATATTTGCGTGAATGCTACTAATGTTGATCAAATTAGTGTGAAATTAAATAATGAAATTCAAAAAATACATACATGGCTAACGGCAAATAAATTAACACTAAATGCAACTAAAACTGAATTCATGATAATAGGATCCAAGCACATTCTTACTAAAGTTCAAATGGATCCAATTATCACAATTGGAAATAACAATATAAAACGCGTTTACAAAACAAAAAGTCTGGGAATAGATGACAAGCTAAACTGGAAAGAGAATATACATAGCATCTGTAAGAAAACTTCGAATGGTATAGGAATGCTACGATTTTGCAAGTCTTTTGTTTCCCGAAATACTTTGAAAATGATTTATAATGCACTTATTTTACCTCATTTTGACTACTGCTCCCTTGTTTGGAGTAATTGTTCAGAAACATTAAAATTAAATTCACAAAAACTCCAAAACAGGGCGGCAAGGGTTATCACAGGTGATAATTATGATGTTCGATCAAAACAAATATTACTTAAGTTAGGCTGGAAAACACTGGATGAAAGGCAACAAAATCTCATGGAAAAATGTGTGAGTAATGTTATGAATGATAATGGTCCGGAGATAATAGGTTGGCTTTTTGAAAAATGCAACAATTCTAATTATAAATTAAGAAGTAATGGCAAATTCCTAAGACTGTCAAAACCAAATACAAACTCTATGAAGAGAAGATTTAGTTATATGGGAGCTAAGACCTGGAATCAGCAACTAAGCGATAAATTGTAATTATAGTTCTATTCTTTTATTTGTAAATATTACACGGCCCTATGAAAATCAATATCAATTGATAGGTTACCATGTATAAATATAATTAAATACAATACAATACAACGAAAAGTCCGACCGCGACGCAGACACTACCGTTGGAATCAGCGTGAAATTCTGATTCAGAATATAAAGTCATCGAAAATTTTCGCCACGCCCTTTCCAAGGTATCGTCGATATCTCCGGAACGGAAAGTCCGATCGCGACGGAGACAACACCGTTGGAATGAGCGTGAAATAGTGATTCACAAAATGACGTCATCGAAAATTTTGGCCACGCACTTTTCAAGTTATCGTCGATATCTCCGGAACGAAAAGTCCGACCGCAACGCAGACACCACCGTTGCAATGAGCGTGAAATTGTGATTGAGAAAATGACGTCCTCGAAAATTTTGGCCACGCCCTTTTCAAGTTATCGTAGATATCTCCGGAACGAAAAGTTGGATCGCGACGTAGAGAACACCGTTGGAATCACCGTGAAACTCTGATGCAGAAAATGACGTCATCGAAAATTTTGGCCACGCCCTTTCTAAGTTAGCGTCGATATCTCCGGAATGAAAAGTCGGACCGCGACGTAGACACAACCGTTGGATTCAGCGTCAAATTGCGATTCAGAAAATGACGTCGTCCAAAATTTTGGCCACGCCCTTTTTAAGTTAGCGTCGATATCTCCGCAACGAAAAGACGGACCGCGACCTAGAGACAACCGTTGGATTAGGCATCAAATTCCAATTCAGAAAATGACGTCATCGAAAATTTTGGCCACGCCATTTCTAAGTTAGCGTTGATATCTCCGGAACGAAATGCCGGACCGCGACGTAGATACAACCGTTGGATTCAGCGTCAAATTCCGATTCAGAAAATGACGTCAACGAAAATTTTGGCCTCGCGCTTTTCAAGTTATTGTCGATATCTCCGGAAGGAAAAGTCGCATCGCGACGTAGACAAAACCGTTGGAATCAGCGTGAAATTGTGATTCAGAAATTGACGTCATCGAAAATTTTGGCAACCCCCTTCTCAAGTTATCGTCGATATCTCCGGAACGAAAAGTTGGATCGCGACGTAGAGAACACCGTTGGAATCAGCCGGAAACTCTGATGCAGAAATGACGTCATCGAAAAGTTTGGCCACGCCCTTTTTAAGTTAGCGTCGTTATCTCCGCAACGGAAAGTCGGACCGCGACGTAGACACAACCGTTGGATTCAGCGTCAAATTCGAATTCAGAAAATGACATCATCGAAAATTTTGGCCGCGCCCTTTCTTTTAAGTTAGCGTAGATATCTCTGCAACAAAAAGTCGGACCGCGACGTAGAGACAACCGTTGGATTAGGCGTCAACTTGCAATTCAGAAAATGACGTCATCGAAAATTTTGGCCACGCCCTTTTTAAGTTAGCGTCGATATCTCCGGAATGAAAAGCCGGACCGCGACGTAGACACAACCGTTGGATTCAGCGTCAAATTCCGATTCAGAAAATGACGTCAACGAAAATTTTGGCCACGCCCTTTTTAAGTTAGCGTCGATATCTCCGGAATGAAAAGCCGGACCGCGACGTAGACACAACCGTTGGGTTCAGCGTCAAATTGCGATTCAGAAAATGACGTCAACGAAAATTTTGGCTACGCCCTTTTTTAAGTTAGCATCAATATCTCCGGAATGAAAAGTCGGACCGCGACGTAGACACAACCGTTGGATTCTGCGTCAAATTCCGATTGGGAAAATGACGTCAACGTAAATTGTGGCCACGCCCTTTTTAAGTTAGCGTCGATATCTCCGCAACGAAAAGACGGACCGCGAAGTAGAGATAACCGTTGGATTAGGCGTCAACTTGCGATTCAGAAAATGACGTCACCGAAAATTTTGGCCACGCCCTTTTCAAGTTATCGTCGATATCTCCGGAAAGAAATGCCGGATCGCTACGCCGACAACACCGTTGGAATCAGCGTGAAATTCTGATTCAAAAAATGACGTCATCGAAAATTTTGGCCACGCCCTTTTCAAGTTATCGTCGATATATCCGGAACGAAAAGTCCGACCGCGACGCAGGCACTACCGTTGGAATCAGCGTGAAATTCTGATTCAAAAAATAACGTCTTCGAAAATTTTCGCCACGCCCTTTCAAAGGTATCGTCGACATCTCCGGAACGGAAAGTCGGATTGCGACGTAGGCAACACCGTTGGAATCAGCGTGAAATTGTGATTCACAAAATGACGTCATCGAAAATTTTGGCCACGCCCTTTTCAAGTTATCGTCGATATCTCCGGAACGAAAAGTCCGACCGCGACGCAGACACCACCGTTGCAATGAGCGTGAAATTGTGATTCAGAAGCTGACGTCATCGAAAGTCGGACCGGGACGTAAAAAGCACCGTTGGATTCAGCGTCAAATGCTGATTCAGAAACTGACCTCACCAAAAATTTTGCCCCCCCCCCGCCTTTTTAAGTTAGCGTCGACATCTCCGCAACGCCAAGTCGGACCGGGACGTAGAAACAACGGTTGGATTCAGCGTAAAATTGTGATTCAGAAAATGACGTCACCGAAAATTGTGACCACGCCCTTTTTAAATTAGAATCGATATCTCCGCAATGAAAAGCCGAACCGGGACGCCGACACCGCTGTTGGATTCAGCGTGAGATGCTGATTCGGAAAACAAGGGTACGGAAAATTTTGGCCGCGCCCTTTTTAAGTTGGCGTCGATATTTCCGCGACGCAAAGTCGGACTGGGACGTAGAAACAACCGTTGGATTCACCGTCAAATGTTAATTCAGAAAATGACGTCATCGAAAATTTTGGCCACGCCCTTTTTAAGTTAGCGTTGATATCTCCGCAAGGCAAAGTCGGACCGGGACGTAGAAACAACCGTTGGATTCAGCGTCAAATGCTGATTCAGAAAATGCGTCACCGAAAATTTTGGCAACGCCCTTTTTAAGTTAGCGTCGATATCGCCGCAACGCACGTTGGATTCAGCGTCAGATGCTGATTCGAAATATAACGTTATCGAAAATTGTGGCCACGCCCTTTTTAAATTAGCGTTGATATCTTCGCAACGCAAAGTCGACCTGGGACGTAGAAACAACCATTGGATTCACCATCGAATGCTGATTCAGAAAATGACATCACCGAAAATTTTTTCCTCGCGCTTTTTAAGTTAGCGTCAATATCTCCGAAGCGCAAAGTCGGACCGGGAGGTAGAAACCACCTTTGGATTCAGCGTCAAATGCTGATTCAGAAAAAGGTAAAGTCGGACCTGGACGTAGAAACAACCGTTCGATTCAGCGTCAAATGCTGATTCAGAAAATGACACCATCGAAAATTTTGGCCTCGGCGTTTTTAAGTTAGCGTTAATAACTCCGCAAGGCAAAATCGGACCTGGACGTAGAAACAACCGTTGGATTCACCGTCGCATGCTGATTCAGAAAATGACGTCGCCGGAAATTTTGGCCACGCCTTTTTTAAGTGTTCTTGTTCCTGGGACAATTCAATATTTAACCCTATTTGTAGCGGGGTTTTTTCATGTTGATATGACAGGGGGTGCGCTGATAGGGCGCACCCCTCAGAAATTCTGTCGATTAACTGCTATTATCCTATAAGTTTTATTTTTAGTAAGTTTTATGTTTCTTTAACCTAAAAATAACAAAAAAGTTAAATTCACATCCAAAATGCTGTTTTTTGGCCCCATTCAATATGACCGCCTATCCGAAAATGGCGAATATAGCTAATATTTTACCCATTTTGGTTATATTTTGTAAAGAGATAACAAAACATTTTGGATGTGATATTTTTTGGG